GATTACAGGCTTGAGTCACCGCTATTTGGAAATTATTATAGATCCCCAAAAAGTTGTGAAGTTGGCACAGAGGGGCCCCATGTACCCCTCACCCAGGTTCTCCCATTGATTACATCTTACATAACTATGATATAATATCAAAACCAGGAAAATGACATGGGCATAAAGTGTGTATGGTTCTATGTAATTTTATTGCATATGTAAATTCATGTAATAGGCATTCCAATTAAGATACAGAACTCTTCCATTATTGCAAAGATCTCCCTCACACTATTTCTTTATAATCAGTCACACCCATCCCCACCATCACCAACTCCTGGCAACCACTAATCTGTTTCCATCTCTATAATTTTGTTATTTCAAGAGTGCTATATAAATGGAATAATATAGTATTATAACCCTTTAAAACTGTCTTTTTTTTCACTCAACATAATGCCTTTGAGAGACATCCAAGTTTTTGCATGTATCAAGAGTTCATTTTTTTTTTTTTTTATTGGAATAGTACTCATAGTATGAATATACCACGGTTTGTTTAACCGTTAATCTATTGTAGGATATTTTGGTTGTTTCCAGTTTTGGGCTATTTCTTATGAACTTTTAAATACATTAACTATAGTTGTTTATACTAATTATCTTTTAGGCCAGCATTTGAGACTTTTATAGGTATGTTTCTATTGATGATGTTTTTTTCTTGATGACCCCATTTTCCTATTTTTTCTCATGTCTAGTAATTTTTTACTATATATTAGATATTTTAAATGATGCACCATAGAAATTCTAGATTCTGCTGTCTTCCCCAAAGAATGTTGAATTGGGTTTGGTAGGCAGGTATATGACTCACATATCACCCAGAATATGTGGAGACATAATTTTATGTGTCATTAGGGTGAGCCTATTTTAGTTTTTCCCTTAACCCAAGGGGAAACCCTTATTCTTGTGACTTAGCCTTTATTCCTAAGGTATAAGCCTCTGGAGATTTTTAAGGAAAGCCTAATGTTCTTACCACCCCCACACTCCCCAATAGGCTGGACTCAAACTCCAAACTCTGACTTTTATATGGTGGACAGCAACTAAATCTCTGTTCATTTTTCTTTCCCCCAGCTTCTAGCTATTTTTTCTTTCTGAGCCTCTTGGTATTTAACCTGTACATTTGTAACTCAGGGATCAACCTGGGGAAGTTTACACTCAGATGATGAGTTTCTGCTTTGCCTCACTTCTGAAATTTCCAGGAACTCTGGAAGAATCAAACTCCATGATCTGACTCCTCAGGCCAATACAACTGTAGTTTCTGCTGAAGTTTTGTGGGCCTGACATCCCTCAGACTGGGACATGGCTTCAGGGGAAAAGCTGCATAAACATGGATTTCACACAGTGTGGTTTCTTTCTTTTGAAGGTTGATCCTCTTTTAGTTTTTGCTTGTTTTGGAATAGTTACTCTTCCATGTCTTAAAGCAGATTTTTAAAAATGTGTTTACAGTTTATTATTTCTATCAATAGGATGATTAGTCTGATACAAAGTACTCTGTCTTGTTTTAATATGATTTGTTTTTGAATTTTGTTGTAATTATGTCTATTTTCCTGTGGAAATTATTTGTGGAGTTCCTAGGCTAACTTTCCATAAATAAAAACATATTTTTAAAAAAATCTCCTTTAAGCATTGTCTCCTGACAATTGAGGAATTTTTCAATTCTTTCTCCTTTACTTCAAAATTTAAATAGTCAGTTTACCAAAAATAAAAGTTTACTGATTTGAGAGCCAAAGAATTCTTACAACATTTAAGCCCAGTGTTACTCAAACAGCCTGCTTATGAAATGAAGTCAGTCAAATGCGAACATTTTACATATTTATTATCCAGTCACAAAGTCCTCTTCAGGGCTTATACATTTAGATATGACATGACACAGGCTTTCCTCCCGCCTTTATTCAACCTTTATCATCTTAAAAAATTTCTCTGATATCCTAGTGTGGAATCAAAACCTTAAAGTGTTTGCTTAACGTCTGTTTTATGGTCTTTTTGTTTTATCTGAATAAATTGATTCCAGTTTGCTTGACCATTCATTTTGATAGGGACAGGAGACAGAGACAGGAAAATTCTGGGAGGAAGAGGATGTTTCCCTGGTAAAGGCCTCACCCTCAAGCACGGAAACCCATGGCTCTAAACGGGAACAGGGATTCCTGTTTTATTGCCCAAATATTGCCTTTTGGCCCACCCTATCTTGTACCCATATAAACCCCAAACCCCAGGCTCGATGAGGAAAAGAGCTAAGGAGCAAAAAAGTGTCATAGCAGACAAGGAGAGCAGAGGAGTGTCTGAACATCGAGAGGAGTTTGACTGGGGATGGTCGGAGAGATTGGCTGCGGGGTGGCAGAACTCCAGGGGAAGATTATCTTCCCACTCCAACCCCTTTACAGCTCACCGTCCATCTCACTGAGAGCCACCTCCGTCCGGCAATAAGATCCCCCACATTTATCATCCTTCGATTTGTCCATATGTCCCTATTCTTCCTGGACTTTGGACAAGAACCTGGGTACCACAAAGGCACTGAGCTGGCTACACTTAAGCTGTCTCCAGATGCAGAACTAAAGGAGCAATGTAAGGTGCCTGTTGGGGCTTTGGAGTTGCAGGCACCCACCCCTAGATGCTACCAAGGGCTGAGAGCCCAAAAGTCCTTGCCCTGGCTCCTACACCTGCCTGTCAGCATGCTCCCTCTCCCATAAGGAGTTTGAGTGTGAGGCAGCCCAAGAGATGAGCCACATCCCTGTCACATGTCTTATGAGGGGGATCAGGGAACTCTCCTGTTTCAATTTAATTACTCTCGCTAGAGAATATTGCTTTTTACTAATGGAATGGCCCTACTTTCTTCGTTATGCTTTCCTAAATTCTACTTATCTTTGAGTATCCATCCATTTCATGTCTTCTGAATTTTCCCACCACTGAACCTATTCCACCTTCTTTAGGTAGGGTTTTCCCTCCTTATAAATTAACACACATTCCAAGTTGTGCAGAGGATAAACTAGTATGTTTGGAAGGCAACTAAGATGAGGATGGGAATGGAAAAGAGGTGGCCTCCCAAAAAACTTTTGAAGCTGGTATGGTTACAATCAGACCATGGGAAGCTACTTCTTTTCAGGTATGCACCTGAAACTAACTGTCTTGTCTCATTTTACAGTCACCTCATGTGAGTATAACCTTCTTTCACCAAAAGATGAGAAGATTCTTGAGGGCAAATTATCATGTCTACTTCTCTCCCCTTAGCTTAGCACTGAACATAGTGCCTCATACAAAGGTAGAAGTTTAAGTGATGCATGCGTTACTTTGAATTTTAACCACTTGGCTGAATCTGTAAGTTTTCTTTGCTAATTTTTAAACAGTATTTGTCCAAACTTTTGTCCTACTAAAGAGTACAATGACACGCCCTGAAAACTTATAATTTGGCCTCTGCTTGATGATCGAACCACATTTCATACTACTCTGCTTTCTCCCTCACTAATATGCTCTTGCTCTATTGCTCTTCTGTCAGTTCTTAAACACACAGGAACTCCTGCCTCAGAGCCTACACACTTGCTATTTCCTTTGCCTAGAATGGACAATGCATTTAGCTGCCTCTCGTCACGTAGGTCTCAGATCAAATGGTAATTCCACAGAGAAGACTTACCAAAGTGTCCCGCTCCATTAAATCTGACCCAAATACTCTCTTGTCCAGTACTCCATTTTCCTTTTTCTTCTTTTCATTTTTTTTTATTATTATTTTGAGACAGGGTCTCACTCTGTCACCCAGGCCGGCATGCCGTGATGCAATGTCTGCTCACTGCAACCTTTGCCTTTTGGGTTCACGCTATCTTTCCATCTCAGCCTCCCAAGTAGCTAAAGCTGGAGACAAACACCACAATGCCTAGCTAATTTACATATTTTTTGTGAAGACGAGGTTTTGCTATATTGCCCAGGCTGATCTCAAACGCCTAGGCTCAAGCGATCCACCTGCCTCAGCCTCTCAAAGTGCTGGGTTTACAGGCATGAGTCACTGTTTTATTTTCTTTTTAGCACTTACTAATACCTAAAATTATCCTTTTAATGTTTGTTTGTGTTTGTTTATTGTCTTCTCATGTTTGAACCTAAGCTCCATGACGCTGAGGAATTTTGTCTTATTCACATCAGCATCTCAAATGCCTAGAGCAGTGCCTACATGAACAAATACTTGAGTTGTCACCCTGTGTGCTATCTTAAAACAATTTGTGGTAGGTACACATTTCCATGTACTTAATGGTAAATTGATTTCAGTGAAAATGGCTCAGAGGTAGAGGCTACAGAGATGTTTTTAAAAACTGAACAGATTATTCATTTAATTTTAGTTCCATCCAGTGAGAACACAGGTTATGAAATGTACCAATAAAAAAAACTCAGTTCTTTTTTTTATTTTTATTTTTTTTTTAAAGGATTGGAGGTTTCAGTGGGACGGGGGAATCACAAGGAATCAGGTAAAACTCAGTTCTTATAACAACTCTGTGAGATAGATATACTATCATAATCTCCATTTTATGGATGGGGACACTGCAAGAAAAGGTTAGATAAAGACTTAAATAGATTGATTTGGCTGAAGCTGCAAAGTTAGTAAGTGAGAATCAAAACCAAGCAGTTTAATTTCAGTCTGTGGTTACAACCACTGTGCTACATCACCTCATCTGCATTTAGCAGTGCAGAGTGTATTTTGTCATTTACTTACCATGCAAATCTAGCATTATTACTTTGCATATACTTTTACAACTAGTTTAGAATAAATTATAATGGACGTGGGGTTGAGTTCCAGGGTATATTATTAATCAATATAGCCCTCAATCTAACTTCTTCATTCCTCAGTTCCCAAATATGTACAATGAAGGCTTGGTTGAGTGTTATTAAAGATCAACTAATATTTTATTAATTGTTTTTAAGTTATGAGAGCCCAGGCATCATGCTGCTGATGAATTTACCAAGAATATATTTAGGAATATTTAATGCCTTACCTGGACTTTATTCATCTCCAGTTTGTTCTTCTCATTGGCACTCTGGTCTTGTTTGCTAGCTCCCTTTTTCTGAGGGCCTTTCCCAAAGAAGATGTAATTTACAAAGGCATACTCCAGCAGAGCCAGGAACACAAACACAAAGCAACCCATCAGATAAATATCAATCGCTTTGACATAAGGGATCTTTGGCAGGGTCTCCCTGAGATGGGTGCTGATGGTTGTCATTGTGAGCACTGTCGTGATTCCTGTGAAAGAGAAAGACAAGGCTTATTTGAGGGCACCACTATTGAGTTCCTTTTTCAAGATTGAGAGGGCAGATGCCATTTCCTTATTGGTGTCCCTGAGTGATCACAGTAGCACGATAAACCACTGGAAAAAAAGGGCAGATATTTTGAAAGACACGGCATTAGCCTCCCTACATAGTCCATTAATGAATCATAAAATAGAATGTGCAGTTAATTAAGAGTTGAAAACATTGTTTTTAATTGCACAAAATAAAAAGAAAAGCAGATGGAAAAGCAGATCAAAATCCCATTGAATGTCTCTCACTTTGTTACGTGGCCACATCTTCCTTCTTCCTTTTCACAGCATCTCATTCATTGTGTTCCTAAATCTGTCTTTGTGACACTAATCCCTATAGCAGCTCTACCAAATTGAGAGCTGGTGAATAGTTTGAGATCTACTTCATTCCATGAATCTGCAGGATACCCAAGTTCAGTATTGCATTGGAAAATAATTGTCATTCATAGCAAAACATCACCAAAAGAAGAAACATGAGAAGTTTCATAATTTGTGTTAAGTACTTGATGTATGTATATTTTACATTTATTGTAGTCTTGTTGCTTCGTTATTTCAAATATTCTCTATTTTCTTGGTTCTAGAACCTAAGACGAATTAGTTCCCTGATGTCAAAAAACAACTTCTTAAAAAATTGATCTTGAATTTGTTGAAGAAGTTTAAGACTGTAAGCTCTAAAAGGCAGATTTTGTTTTATTTACTTTGTTAAATGTCGCATTCTTAGTGGCATAATGTTTGTGTGGCTGTATAGTAAATATTTTGTGTTGCTGATGGTGATGATGAAGTCACAATTGTGAAAAGCAAGAGTGAAAAGGAAGTTGGAATCTAGTGTAGATATTTGTGCTGCAATACTAAGATTATACATTTGTATGGTGTTGAACAGTTTTAACACTTGCAGTTATAAATTATCCTTATATGGCTATCATAACAACCTGAAAATGATAGGGAGTGTATATTATTCTCATTTTATAACTGGGTAAACAGAAATTCTGAGATTAGTTATTTTGTTTTAGGTTACCCAGCTAGGGTCAAAAGAGCACAGTGATGTTCCACAATAGCATTTAAAATAAGCAACGAGATGAAAAGGCATAATCTAAAATTTGATAGCAACTCTTAAAAATAAAGTCAGAAAGTGTGAAATGGATAGTAAAGACCAAGGAAAACTTCCAAAGGGAATGGAAGGTAGCAAACTGAAATGAAGGGAAAAAATCGTTTTGCCTTCATTTGCTAATCAGATTATTCTAGACATATATTCCCAGTTTTCTGACTATTCAACTTTTAGAAGAGCAGATAAAGTAGGAGGTCAGGACTACCATACAAAAAATTAAAGTGGTTCAGATCAGTAATAAATTCTACTGTGCTGGACTGACATAAGATGACATAACGAGTGGTCTTTCTTACTTCTTTGAAAAAAACCCTTAAATTTCACCTAATATAACTCTAGTTAATGTGCTTCACAGAAATGAATGAGTCACTTACAAAATCACCAATTGCATTTCTTCTTCTGCTCCTTGTTTTACATTTTTAAGCAAAAAGTGTTAGTAAATGAATGCCATTTTAAATTATGTGTGCTTTAAAGTATCTCAGGTTTTACAGTCCAAGGAATAGCTTAAACAAGCACCTGTATACGCTGACATCTTTAATATCTCCAGTCAAATAGTGTTAGCTTTGAGGATAGAGGAGTAAAGAGAATCAAAATTCGTAAACTTACTAGTTATTATTCTCTGCTGTGGACATCATCCACTGTTTTTTCCTAAGTGTAGCATGTAGACATAACAACATTCATGTTCAAGTAGTATGTGCAGATACATATTATGATACTATTATTTGTTTGCTTTGTTTAATCTTAGACTGTTCAAAGATTGATAAGGGGCTGAAAACACATTCTAACCTTCCAAGGAATCCTTAAAGTCTCAAATATAGCCTTTCAGCTTTCAGCAATTACTTAACCAAGGCAGGATTAGTTCTAAATTTTGTTCCCCCAAGAAGGAAATCATCATTATTCTGTCTTGACCGTAGATTATTAATGAAGCTGATGAATTGTCTGTGCCTTATTCAAGTGTAATAAGCTCCATTTAAGGGAGACTCAGCTTAATATGATTTAATTTTAGTATTTAAAGGATAGTATTTCTCAGCAACTGACAGCTTGTTAGTCACAAGGTTTAGCATTCCCTAAATTCATTTGAAAATAGTGCATTGTATATGTTCTTCACTTTTAAAAGTAGGGATTAAAGGGGAAGTCATCCCTAAGTTAGCAAAAATTAGTGTATTGAGAATTTAAAAATTTATTCCATGAGACACTTAAGTAGTGCTAGACATATTCCAAGATTTTTGTTTGTTTTGGTAAATTGCTAAAAAGACAGTACATTATAGTATAGTCATTGTAGATATGCATACACTTAGATGTTTTATATTCAGGGACTCTTATGGTAATCTAATTCTTTGGCTTGCTGTAAGAGAGCCCTTGCCTATAATTCCTGATATTGGTTATTTGTTTGAAAGTAAAACCTGTTAGCTCTCTGCAGTGCTGCAAATACATTACCTAGTGCAACTCTGGCTGCAGAGGCATCATAGTTGATCCAGAAAGACACCCAGGACAGAATTGTAATCAGTGTAGAAGGCATGTAGGTTTGCAAAATGAAGTAGCCAATGTTTCTCTTTAGGCGAAAACTTAGTGACAGTCGTGGATATGCTCCTGTGTTGAAAAACAAAAGACAAGTAATCAGACCATTATTTGGTTGGAATCATCTTCTTCCTTTCACAGCAACCCCAGTACATTTTGGGGGAAACATCCTCACCTGTTGTGAACTCCACCTTCTTAGACACCATCTTGTAGTCAACAATAGAAAACTGAGGAAGCTCAATCTTATTAACACCAGTGACTGCCCCCTCTCCTCCATTCCAGTAAAACTCAATGTCATCAGTGGTATAGCCATCTGAAACCAAGAAACACAGCATGGTTAAATACAGTTCAGGAAATTATTTTGAAGACCACCTGGGAGCTAGAGGAAAAATTCCCGGCAAAAGAGTAGTAAGGTGGCATTGCTTTAAATTAGGGTGGTATGCAGGTCTCATGTGGAGTGCCATTTCTGAGGATTTGGTAGCAGCTGCATTGAGAAAATGGATGCATCTGGCTTCAGTGGACATGAGCTCTGGATCATTTAGGGAGATCTGATGTCGCTGCTGCAAATGTATTCTTATGGTGTCTACTAGTGTGGGTTCCTTGGCTAAACTGGAGGATGGCTGAATTCTAGGTGCCGGGACATGGCTTTGGCTATGTGTTATTTAACAACAATAATAACACAACAAGTAATAATAATCAGGCACATATTTGTTAAGAGGATAACAGAAAGTGTAAAGAAATAAACTGTAACGAAGGACCAAATTTATATATAGCCATTACATGGTTAAGACATTTTAAAAAAATCTCTTTATTTTAGAAAATTTGGCCAGCTTCTATTCATATCCTTTGATTATAGCTAATATTATTATAGCTAATATATGGGTAAAGGTCTTAGGACTATATAAATTCTTGATAATGCTTTTTATATCTTTGTACTTATGAAAATGAGCTTTAGGGGAGTGTTTAGGGAACTGTAGATTGTAATAGAAGGGTCTGGCATCAGGTCTTGAGTATGAAGGCCCTGTGTTGATGGCCTAATCTCTTCCTCTTTCCACTCTGCTCCTACCTGGCAGTAGTCTAGCTGGTGGTCTTATTATGTATAAGAGTAACTTGCATAAAAGGAATGCATGGATATATTTCAAAATATAAAAATAATTTAAGACATATTTTAAGACCATATTTTTTTCTTTCTACAAGCTACAGACAAAGAAGATCTTTCCAAATTCATTTTCTATTTGTGTTCACCTCAAATAAAAATTCATAAAATCTTTTTTCCATTAGAATTGCTAGGGCTAGTGTTTCAAAGGTAACCGTATAAAGCTCTTTGTAGCGGACATCATGCTGACCTACTTTTGATTAAAGCCAGTCATACCTTTTCAAGAGATAAAAACTAATATATTTGATATTTAGAAGTTTAATGCCAGGTGCCAAAGGGTCAACTTGTCCTTGCAAGAATGTAAGAAATTTTAAGCTACTCTTCCCCACTCCCCTCCCCACTTTTGAAAAGGAAAACAAAGCTGTCTTAACTTTACTGCTTTAAATTTTTCTAACTTCTCTTCAGAAAGTTCTTTTTTGAATTCTTATTATTGAACTCATAAAACTCACAACTGTTTTATATTTGTTACCATTTGCCGCTCTGTGAGGTTATTGTTTATTATAATATGCTTCAGTTTATTTTATTTCTCTTTCAATCATCTCCTTCTAGGTCTAGGAACTTGCCCTCTTTCCAAAGGGCAATCTTCCACATCCAGTAACCCATTCTACAATGACCCAAGTGTAGACACAGAAATAGAAGATACTTACTTCCAGATATAATCACCTGTGTCTGAAAGATGGATATTTTCTTTTCTATTGGACTTAGAATAACCTACATTGAACTAATGGACATATTGGGGATTTAAACCAAGTTTGGGTATGATTCTGTAATACTGATTCTCAATATCTCTTTGAGAAATTGATAAAAACCTGCCAATAAAATCCACAGAAAAATATAGATAGATAAATAGATAGCTAGATAGAAATCGATGACAATTTCAGGAGATCATGGATCCCACTCATGGATTCTAGAATACTAGAATATGAAACTCCTTTCTACATTGAAATGGTTAGTGGCAATATGACAGCTAAGGTTCAACTAAGATTCCTTCCTTTCCAATTTCAATTCAACCATGGGTTACCTCTCCTAAGCCCAGCAGGAAGTAGTATCTGGGGAATGTGAGTTCTCTGCTCTGTCTGGATGCAGTGGACAATGGCATCACGGGATTTTTCCCCCCTTAACCGCTAGAGAGAACCTAGGGACTGGTGGCATAAGAGTCCTTGGGTGCGGATTAGAACAGTGGGATCAAAGAAGATAGCTGGGTGCAGGGGCTCTTGGGCCTACTAAAGAAGGAAGGGTGTTACCACTTGTGTGACTGGAGGAATTTCTGTCATTTTGGTGCTTTAAGGGGATGTGGGAAAGTTAAAAAGATGGGCTGGGAAATCACCATACTGTTTTCCATAGATGTTGTGCTAATTTACATTCCCACCAACAGAGCATAAATGTTTTCTTTTCACAACTTCTATTGTTTTTTGACTTTTTAAATATACAATTCGATTTAGCAATCCCACTACTGGGTATCTACTCAAAGGAAAAAAAGTCAGTATATAAGGAAGACTGCATGCATACATTTATCACAACACAATTTACAATTGCAAATATATGGAGCAAACCTAAGTGTCCACCAACTGATGAATGTATAAGAAAAATGTGGCATATATACACCATGGAATACTACTCAACCATAAACAAGAGCAAAATAATGCCTTTTGCAGCAACTTGGATGGAGCTGGAGGCCGTTATCCTATATGAAGTAACCCAGGAGCAGAAAACCAAATATTGCATGTTCTCATTCATAAGTGAGAGCAAAGCTATGGGTAAGGCAAAGGCATAGAGAGTGGTATAAGGAATGTTAGAGACTCCGAAGTGGGAGGCTGGGAGGGGGGTAAGAGATGAAAAAAAATCACAATTTCAGTAATGGATACACCAATAACCCAGACTTCACCACTACATAATTAATCCATGTAAGTAAAAACCCCTAAATCTATTGAAAAAAAAGAGAAGAAAAGGAAGGTTGGGTAACTGAAAGAGAAAGAGAAAGAGAGGGAGGGAGGAAGGGAGGGAGGGGGGGAGAGGGAGAGAGAGAGAGAGAGAGAGAGAGAGAGAGAGAGAGAGAGAGAGAGAGAGAGAGAGAGAGAGAGAGACGCTACCTCCTGGTGCATCAGCAGGGGATGAGCCTGGAGCTCACCATGCTTTCCATCTAGAACTTTGTTTTCTTTTAAGGTGACCTGGCAGCTGGGCCCAAACCCCAAAGAATATGCAAGAAAAAAACAATGCATGCAAGGAACCCACTAGCCTCCAAGAAGGAAAACAAGCAGAACAACTAGATTAGGTGTCATCTAGTGAAAAGAACTGGGGAGGAAGTGAATAATAGCTTGAACTCTTCATTCCTCACTCTTGGTAAAAATACAGGAACACTTACAGATTTATAATTAGAGCACTAACAACTTTTTATTCTAAAACTCAATTTTTTTTTTACTTTTTAAAAATGTTTTCTTATAGCACTTTATGATTATCCATATTTATCTTATATATCTATTTACATATCTATTTTCTTTTATATTCAGTTCTGGGGTTAATATACAAACTGTCTTAGATAAATTGAAGAGAAAATGGCCACTGATGAGGCCAAAATTTGTGGCTTGGAAGGCAATTTTATAGATATTTGGAAAGCATGAAGAAACTATAAAAGCTTTAAAGGACTCATCTAGGAGATCTACTATACAAATAGTAGGCATTTCTGAAAGAAGAGGGTTATATAGAGGAGGAGCCATAATAAACAAAAATAAAACACAAATTCCCCAGAGCTTACTAAAGAAGTCATTTTGCAGATTGGCAAGCTCATTATATCAGGTCATCCCAACATCATTCCTAAACTCCAAGGGTGTAATAACAGTCTTACAATCTTCCAGACAGAAAGTACAAGGTGTTTTAAAAGGAAAAAGTATTGAACTTCTCATACACAATGTGGAAAGAAAAGATTATAGAAGACATACACAGAACATCTAGAATATAAGCATAAAGGACAGCAACTCTGAGACCCAAAAATACTACTTGCTGCCAAAATGCCACTTCTTTCCAGAGAAGATATATAAAGATTCAGAGGAAATACCATCTGGATACCTGCTTGAGGAAACTCTTTACAGAAGACTCTAATCAAACAGTTAGAATTAGGACAGTTAAGGAAATCCACCTTAGAAACAGAAGAACTGTAAAGAATCATGACTACTTTACTCAATTACATGCAAATCAATTTGAAAATGTGAATGGAATGGATAATTTTCTCAGAAGAAAGCATTTTTAAAGCCCAAATCAGGAGGCACAGAAAATCAAAGCAGCTTGATTTCATCCTTACAAACAAACAAATATTTAAGAACTGATAATTCTATTGCTACTTAAACAGTTTCAAAGCATAGGCTAAGAATGAAAATTTCTAAATTATTTTCATAAAGTAAGCAGAACACATTAGCAAATAAAATCCAGCAGTGCTTGAAATAATAATCAATATAGTTTATTCTAAGTTTCAAATTAGAAAATCTAGTGATATACTTCATTATAATAACAAATCTAAGGAGAAAGAAACCCATGTGTTTATACAGATACTGAAATGGCATTTGATAACTTTCAACACCAGTTCTATCTTTTAACAAAGCAATATTATTCAATAAATATGAGAAGGTATTTCCTTAACCTGCTAAGATATATCTTTCTTGGTCCCAACGACAGCATTTATTGAAAACAGAAAAACATTCCTGTGAAAGGTAAGAAGAAGATGAGAGTGTCTACTACCATTGTTATTATTTAACATTGTTCTGCAAATACTAACCAAGACATTAGACAACAGAAAGAAAGTTGAGGCATGGAGTTGGAAAGCTGCTGGTTAAACTATCAGGATTTGCAAATTAGGCAATTGTGTATTCAATAAACTCCGAAGAATTAACTGAAGAGCTATTACAAATAGTAAGAATTTGGTAGGGTAATGGGGTATAAATTACTATACAGAAATTGATAACTTTAATATGTAAAACAATATCTTATAACATGTAATAGATGAAAAAGACCACTTAATAATAGAGACAAAGTTATCCAGTAATAAACTTGGTCAGAAATATGCAAAACATATATGAAGCAGCATTTAAAATACATTTTGAAGGGCATAAAAGAAGCCTTGAACAAATAAAAGGCATAGCATATTTTTGAATAGGAAAACTCAACAT